AGTGAAACTGGAAGAGTCAGGGATCGCAATCAAGACATCGAACTATGTGTCGATAACACTATAATCAAATCTAACGAAGAGATAGCGATTGTTTTTGATAAGTACTTTTCTGACATTCCAATTTCGACTACTAAGTCTCTTCAATCATCTCCCGCCCTCGCCGAATCGCTGCTCAAAGATAATGTAAACGAGTGCAAGGTCAGTTTTTCATTCCGACCCATTGGTGCCGACGATATAGTGAGGATATTTAGAACCATAGATATTAAGAACACTACCGATCTTTGGGGTATTTCTGTAAAAATAATTAGTAGCATAATTGATGTAATTGCTCCCCATCTAGCTATAATTTTCAACAATTGTATTAAAAGTGGCGAGTTTCCCGATCTAATGAAACATAGTAAAGTTATTCCTTTATTTAAAGCAGGTAGTATGTCCGACCCCAGTACTAAGACAGGGCTCAATTCTTGGCCCTTTCCTCTTTCTTGTTTATATAAATGATCTACCTTTCATGGTAGAGAGAAAACATCAGATAGTTTTGTTTGCTGATGACACGTCCTTGATTTTTAAAATCAAACGACAAATAACAAATTTTGACGATGTGAACAATCAGTCTTCGATTGTCCATTGGTTTAGTATGAATAACCTTCTACTTAATGCAAAAAAGACAAAATGCATTAAATTTTGTGCAAAAAATGCAAGGGTTATGGATACTAGACCAATTATAAACGGTGAGGAATTGAATCTGGATGATACAACTGTATTTCTCGGAATCACCATGGATTCAAAACTTCAGTGGTCCCCTCATATTAACGGATTGGCGAAGAGACTTAGTTCTGCAGCCTACGCGGTTAAAAAAATTCGCTCACTAACTGATGTCGATACAGCTAGACTTGTTTATTTTAGTTACTTTCATAGCTTAATGACTTATGGCTTATTATTATGGGGTCATTTTCATCCTGCAGAAGAGGGCTATTCGTGCAATCTATAATTTAAAATGTAGGGAATCTCTTAGAGATAAATTCAAGGAAATTAATATACTTACCTTTCCCTCGCAATATATTTATGAAAATATTATGTATGTATACAAAAATAGTGATAAGTTTACTAGAATAGAACATACGCACAATGTTAATACACGGAACAAACGCAGGCTGCAATTTCCCCGTACTAGACTATCTAAAGTTAGTAATTCTTTTTTTGGGGAAAGGGATACTCTTCTTTAATAAAATCCCAGAGGCTCTTTTATCACTGCCTTTCAATAAATTTAAGAAATGTATTAAAGAAAAGCTGTGTAAAAAGGCTTACTATAAAGTCAACGATTATCTAGTTGATAAAAGGGCCTGGGACTAGTGCTAGACAGGCTACTTCTAATCAATTTGCGATATTTGTTTTAAATAAGTGTTGTTTGATGATTTGCTGTTTTAAAAGAGTACCGAGAGTTTTTTACGCCGGCTTTTTCTCTCGGCCTACACCCTCTGTCTTCTTTGCCGATGAGTAGGGATGCCTTCAAATTTAATGACATGGAATAAGTGATACATGTATCTTATGTTCCATAATAAACATATTTTATTTTATTTTATTTTTAATTAACTAGATAATATTTATAAGTTATAATAAAACTTTCAAAGTATTAAATAGCTTTTTTCTATTGTTAGTGTCGTTTTTTTTTCTAGACACGTAGAATAATGCGAAAGATAAAGATTTTTATCTTGTTTCGGCATAGGTATAAATAACTTCTAGCGCGTGTACATAAGTACACTCACACATGTTTTTTTTATTAAAATCGAATTATTACAATTCTAGACTTATTTACAATTAATTCTCATGACATATTAATAACGTCGTGTTCATTATCAATAAAATATAAAATGGAGCTATTAAGTAGCCAACTGACCCCAATACCCAGCAAGTGGGCCATACAGTCACAGTAGCATAATACGGTCAGTGCCAATGACCTTTGTGATGCTTTTATCGCGTTTCACGTTTTCGAAGGAGACTACCTGAGGTCTAGATTTTGTCGCCTTGACTTGTTATAATTATTTGGTTATCTTATCGCAGTAATTGGCTATCTGGTGACGTTACTTTAAATGATGTTGTGCTTATCTAATAAGTAAGTAAAAATGTTTATCTTAGGTACCTACTGATTCCTTATAAAATGCATATAGTCATCGTTGCGTAATAACAACTTGACAGGAAGCGATGAATCCTTTTGTTAAAGTATATAGTAAAGTTTTTTGAGTTTTTACTATTAGTGCAGATATAATGCCATCAAAAACATAACTTGTAAGTCAAAAGTCATTTATTCATATAGATAACACAATGTACACTTATGAACGTCAAAAAAGAAATATATATTAAATGCTTCTAATTTTACATTCACTGCCAGTTCTCAAATCAAGGGCGTAGAACGGAAGAGAAGAACTGGCAATAAACTCTCCGCCACTTTCAATCGCCAAGTTTTTTGTTTTACACAACGTTTGTAAGAAGCTGCAACCATTACACCATGTTCCACATGACATCTTAAGTAATGAATAATAATAAAATAAATTAAAAACAAAGATTTGTCCTCTATCAGCAGGAGGCATGGTGAAATAGGAGCACGTACTTACATTTTCGTGAGAACAACACGCAAATACATAGTCGAAATAACTAACTAAATACAAGTCTCGCAAAACATTGTGAGAGTCATGTAATGTCCAAGTCGGTTAATTTATTCAATCCCTACTTAAGAGACCTTCTTTCTTGAATTATTACTTAATTAGCTAATCTAACAACATCTTATAAGGGCCATATTAATATTATTATTTTTTGTTTTTGATTAAATAGATTGACTTGACAATCCCAGTAAATAATCTAATTTAATGTAGTATGTATTACTTGTTAGATACATTGTGTTTTCATGCCATGGAAACACAGGCATCTAGTTTTAAAACAACGAAATTATAAGGGGGTCGAACTGTTTTGAGAAAAGGATGCTACGGCCGTGCCCAGGTAATCGATGAATCTGTTACATTCAGATACAAAACGATCAATATACGACACCTTGGAGCATCGGTTTTTTGTGTGAAACCGAAAATATTAAATAGCTACCTTGCGAGACGTAACGCTGTAGCTTCTGTTAACGCAATATAAACATTCCTTTTTAAAAAAACATTTTGCATAACAATACTTCTCGAAGACCCCTGGTACTCGGTTCCTATAAGTGTAGTATAAAAAAATGTAACAATCATTTCACATTACTCATGGATTAATGCGAATTGTTTGATGTGCGGTTATTGTATTATTTAGTTTGTAAGACGATAAGATAATCATTGAGACCTCGATAACGATCAATTGTAATACTTGAATGATCACGTTTTGTCCTTTTAATATACAGGATGTTTACACTCATATAAACTGCGTTAGTACGTCATGTATCTTCTGTACGTCACAAGGGTACGAATAATTTTTAGTTGAATAGTAGGTACATTAGAATGACCATTCCTAGCAAGCTTTAAGTCATTGGTTATTATTACTTTAGCGTTTTTTTTGTTGTGTGTGACCATTAAAATAAAAGCAATGCTTAGGCGGCCATGGTAGTCATAATAGAATAATCTATCTATGAAAGCTAATACAGACTTTTTAATAAATAATGATCGAACATTCAAGTGTCTACCAACGTATTATTAAGACGTGTGAGAGTTCGCACTAATCTTTAGAATTTCTTTGTATAGGATCAAACGGTTTGTTATTGTTATGTTTCTTGTACCGTTCTTAAGTCATTATCGAAGGCTGGACGACAATATCGGGCCATCTGTTCCGCTATCTAGAACGTATGGCACTTTTATGATGTCAACACCGAAATAATTCTATTAGCTACGTTTTTATTACGTGATTCATTTTGTCTGATAACATTTTAATGGATTCATGCTCTTAGTCCGTGTTCTTATTTCCTTTACATATAAACATTCATTAATAAGCCACAATGATATTCGCCACCTTATGGTATTCGAAATTCGAACGTTGAAAGTTAGATAGTATGTACACGAAGATGTCATATGATAGTTGTAAAAAAAATGTAATATAATTTTTTTTTACCTATACGTATATATAACCAACACTAAGAAAAATAATAAGATTTAAAGTAAATTATACTTAATGTTACAACAACTAAGGGAGCTTATTGGAGATTATTGGACCCCTCCCCCCATGTAACGCGCCGTAACGTTTTTCTGTACCCAAGTATAGTAAAATGTTTCGTGACCACCAAGTGACTCTTTATACCTAAAAGTTATCATTATGTGGTGTAAAGAACTGGAAAGTCGAAAATAATATTAATAATAACGCGTAATTCAATCCCCGCCCCGCATTGTAACGTTTTACAAAAGGACCCCTTCCCCCTCCAAAATTCGTTACGTAATACTTGAATGCTCCTTAATCGAGCAGAATCGCTACATTAACACGATTTGTACCACTGCATAAATATGAAAAACAAAGTAAATAATCTTATACCTAGAAATAACATAACGACCAAGTCTTGTGCACGCAAGCACTGCATAGTAAGGTTAATCAGTTTCTTCAAGAGTTTATCATAATTGTTTCCTCAGAGCTGAGGCCTCCGAACCCAAACGTTTTTCGCATATCGTAACGATGACAGAATTTCAATGTCACCTATACAGTATCATTTTAGCTTTACGGTAACAATAATACAGACTACAACCTTTGGTGTTGGCTTCAAAATTCATCGGCTGTTTCTTTGATGATTTGTCTCTTGTAGGCATATGGGTGATTTGCCTTCTGTTTTAAAAACGTCATAATTTTGTGGATATTTGACAAACAATATTTAATTGCGCACATACAGATAATACATTGATGCACAACCGGGATTGAAGCGCTCGTCCCGGTTGAGTGTAGACCAAACTTAGAGTATTTCTATAATACGTAATTTAAAAAATGTACTGATATGATTATTTTCTTCCACAGGAAAAAATCTCTACAACAATGAACATGTAGCGATTAAGATGGAGCCTATGAAGTCCAAGGCTCCGCAATTACACCTAGAGTACCGATTTTACAAATTACTAGGAACTCATGGTGAGTACGCAGACTGGATATCAATGTTGAATAATTTTAAAATACGTTTAGATATACACGCGGGCACAGATATATGCCTGAGCTTTGAAAGCATGATACACAGATCGAGACTATAATGCAAACAATAATGTAGATTAATGAGCCATTTAGGACGGTAATTTAGAGGGTAATGTACGAAATGCGGCCATCAGACCTTGTACTCAAACGTAGGGATATATAATTAAAATTTAAAGCATTCTAAACCCAAATATTACACCAAAATCAGTGCAGTGGTTTAAAAATATACCCCTTATAAAATGCATTTTCTAATCATCAAGATCTATTGATCAATATGTTTTGCTGAATTGTTAAGACAACGTTATTCAAATTATTGTATAATTTATCGCTCGAGCAATGAATGGCTCGTTAAAAGGGTTTATAAGTGAGGAGAATATAGATTGACGTTAAAATACTGCTCAGAGGGCATGCCAAAAGTGTACTACTTGGGCACGTGCGGCGGCCGCTACAACGCCATGGTCATGGAGTTGCTAGGCCCCTCTCTAGAGGATCTCTTCGTTCACTGCGGCCGAAGGTTCAGGCTCAAGACGGTCCTTTTGATTGCAATGCAGCTCGTAAGTGCCTGCAATACGGTAGATACGGTTTAATGACACAACACCGCAACCGAGCGTTATCGCGAGGGCAACCGCCGTGATCATGACGTTGTTACCCGCCCACTAGCCAGCATTGCTCTCGCGACACGCCAATTAATTCCCTTACGAGGGCCTTGATCGGCATTCGCATCGGCTTCTGTGTTGTGTCAAGGTCGCAGAGCAATGCTGGGTAAGTACTAATCTTTCATCCACTCTCCTCTACCCCCTCCCGTGCATCCTTAGCCCCCTCGACAGCAGAAGGCATTCCGGAGGTTTATTACTTCGGGCCCTGCGGTAAATACAATGCCCTAGTGATGGAACTGCTAGGCCCCTCGTTGGAGGATCTCTTCGACTTGTGTGGCCGGCGTTTCTCTCTAAAGACTGTACTGATGATTGCTATGCAGCTGGTAAGTACGAGTAGCTTACTTTGAATCGTTGACAATAGACGTAGAAAGTTCCCAAATGGGGCAATATTTAACAGTCTCGAAGAAAGCTAAAAGGCAAGCTATGAACTGTTCTGTGTGTTCTGTGATATTAATTCCGATTTTTTTAATAAACGAATGAACGTCTATGTAATAGCCATTATATTCGTTAAAATCAGTTATTGTTTGAATTTTGATTGTGTAATAAAGATTTTATGACCCGTTTGTGTAAATGGTTTGCCGCTATCATTATGACGTAGTTATTTAGATAAACGTCTGCGTAAGCTACGCAAAAATATTTTACTTTGTTGATGACTGTTTACCTAATAAAGTCTTGTTGACTCATGGCCTACTGGAATTCCCTCTGCAATAATATCAAGTTAACAATGTATACCATACATTTCACATCGTAAATGTATATATAAATAGTGATTTTATAATAATATACGTTAATAATTATTTTCTATTTTATATCAGTAATTCATTACTATACACCTTATTCAGTCCAGGTGAAGTAGATCTTACTGCTTAAGACTATATTTTTAATATAATATTCTGTCTAAAATATATTGATGTGTATGTTAGGATCATCATGCTTTGATCATTGACACATATAAACCTTTAAAAAGTAGTACTACAACACCTTATCTAGAGTAACGATAAGGATTTTCTTTTCTTTAAATAAAATGTAAATGTTATCACGCAGGTATTTAATTTTAAAATGGAAACGAATTAATTTTATCGAGGAGTCAAAAAGACAATTTCAAGAATAGCAGTAATTCGTAGCTTATTAATAATCTGTACATTATTAATAGCTTAAGCAGCCTATGTTTACCTTAATAAATCTGAATGTTCCACTTTCTTTGCAAATAAATGATTTATTATTATAAAAAGCGAACTCATTGAAACGCTTATACATTTTGTTGTATAATCTAATGTGTACATTTTAATTTTTCAGTTACATCGTATCGAATATGTCCACACGAGACATCTAATATACCGAGACGTGAAGCCAGAAAATTTTTTAATAGGTAGAACTGCAACTAAACGGGAAAAAATCATTCACATCATCGGTAAGAAAATATTCGTTTTGTTAGTGCACCATTTTCATACTAAGTAAAAGTTATGGGAACAAAATTGTGCCTTGCTGAAGAACCTATTTTTAGGTTACTTACATTGCAAGCGCAAAGGTTATCTATTTCTATGTAATTGTTTTCATATAATAACACGATTAGTCCCAGTTTATATTAGATATAACCTTAAGTAAGTCTATAAAACATATTCCGTAAAGATATGTTGTGTTAAGCACACAATCGTTTTGTAATTTTTTTTTAAAGACAATTCACACCAATTGACCGAGTCCCATGCTAAGCTGGTGAAGCTTGTGTTATGGGTACTAGGCAACGGATATACATACATATAGATAGATAGACATATAAATACATATTTAAACACCCAAGACCTAAGCACAACACCAAATGCTCATCACATCGATGTTCGTCTCAGCCGGGGATCGAACCCGGGACCCATGGATTCGCAGTCAGGGGTACTAACCACTAGACCAATGAGTCGTCGTATTATTTAGTTGATGTGAAAAACCATGTGAATGCTGAGGCAATCCAACTTATTGATCCAACAGGAACAAAACGCCTAAAGAGAACTAAATCTTTTGAATTTACTAAAACTAGTGTGGTGAATATCAGTGCAAGGGAGGTATCTCGGACACACGGACATAGTGTCAAAACATTATAGAAAACTAAGACACAACATTGACTTAGTTTAAGCACTAGTGTTGTAGAAAATTAAGTGTAGAAATTAAGTCATCATTACTTATTAGCCATAATTATTGTTTATTATTGATCGTAGTTCATGTTTAAAGTAGCACTATTTTGTATAATTTATTGTGAGAAAAATAATTAGTTGATGTATTTCTATACCTAAAGAACCATGTTAAAGATTTAAATAATCTCTTTAAAAAAACAGCACACAGCTGACACCCCAAAAGGTCATGAACTCATCCTAAACAGCTGTTACTATAGCGAGATAATTTAACAAATCTTATATGAGATCTGTCATAGTGTACTCTAGGGCATAATATATTCCAACGCTTTTCTCTAAATAATCTTTGCTTGTCTGTACGTTTTTTTGTCTCGACGTGAGACCTCTTTTACTGAACATTAGAAAGAATACTTAAAAACTAAATGGATAGTTTGCGTTCTTACCCTCCGCATATGCCGCAAAAATAGTATATAAATAAATTCTGCATACACTTAACGACGATATAACATAAGCTTTATATGACAATTCGGAAATTGTTACAAGCTTTGCGTGCAATGCAATTTCTGCAAGATAACGGCTTAAATTCTCATATGTGTTCCAATACAGTGAATATAAAATGTAAAGTTTACTTCGTTTAATAGAAATAACATGGTTCTAGAATACCTGGTAAATGGCAGGGTCCAATTTATTATTCATTTAACCTGAACTTTGTCTAACTTTCACAAGGAAAAGCTAACTATGTCGTAAACCTTGTCAATGACCTCCAACGAAATCCTGAGGTCGTATGGATTTTTCTTTCTGCGTTCCAATGCCTTAAAAACCCAAAAATCTATGACATATGTTAGATACAGAAGGCTGCTTACCTACTTGCCTATAAAAAATCGAAGCAACGGGTGCAATCTGCTGTTAAAACCCATTTAGGGTTATAGTGCCACTGGATTATTGAAGTGAAACTACTTTAGGCGAATGAGGGTAAAATATTTACGGAACGTCACGAAGATGTTCAGCGTTTTAGTCGACGAAAAGGGAGACAGCGATTGAGAAAGAGTGAGAAGGGTGAATTACCTTATAGAAATTATATTTTTAAAATAAAATTTCGTAAATAGAATTTATAAAATATTAGTATTTTATATTTTATGCAAAATAATTTATTGACATCTCAAATGACAATTGTAAATTAAATGCCACGTGTTTTTTTATTAATTATAAAATTAAAGTCCTAACATATCTTCCTTTTTTCCTCCCTCTAAGTCTCGGAAATCTAAAGTTTTAGATTTGTATAAATATGAACAAGAGTTAAACATTAGTTTGCCAAAGAAGTTTCACTTCTGAGATGTGTACTTTGTACGCACGCACTTTTTTGTTATTACTTTTGCGTTTACGTTTCACATCAAAAACTATGCAAGCATGGCCACCAGTTTTAGTGTCTTATAATTTAGTACGTTTTACAGGCATTAATTCAATACAAATCAACACAAGACACTGATAGTAACCATTAAAAAAATATACGGATCGTGTGCGTGTAAGCTATAAAGTCATTTCGCTCATTTCAAGTTGCAATAGAGTCCAATGTCAACGTCAAATATATTTGACAACTCTGGAATGTAACGAACATTTCACAGGTGACAAATGATAACTTTTTTTGCGTTATTTGATTACACAATCTAAGCCACCTTGATTTTACATAACACTTTTCGCATATCGATTGCAAGTGACCTTCGTAATCTTGTTATGGGCTTTGCAGTAGTCTAACTTTAGATTTAAAACGTTACTCTTACGTCATTAAATGTATAAGGACTTGTATGGTTTCTATAATCGAGATTCAGACCTATTCGCATTTATATAACCACGACTAGTATGTTCTTGTCTAAGGATTATTCGCCTACATATGTACAATACATACTATTCAATAATTTAATAAATCCAGAAGCAACGTTGCGTTTTTATTATTGTAACACAGGCCGAAAGCTTTTGTTTTCCTAGAATTCGACTAAGAAAACCATTGTCCTTGATGTGACAGTGCTAGATATATTATTAAATCCAGTATATGAGTTTTAAAAAATTAAATATTGACTCCGTAAGACTTTTTAATCCAAAAAACGAACTTCCTTAATAACTTAACTATGTCCCCTTAGTCAATCGACGTGCAAAATAGTTTCATTCATAGAAATATATTTTATAGTACTACAAAATTGTAATATAAGACAGTAGGCTGCGGTTACAATGCCACAGAAAATTGTGCGTAACGCGTGTAAAGCATGCAGGAAGTCGTGATACGGTCACTGCTGTAGTTAGTAAAAGTGGTGTTATAATATGACGACTTTTTCTCATCTGTCATTCCTTAAATATGCTTTATAAGCATAATTTTTTTCAAATCGTATTCCTAACTTAACCTTGATTGTGATTCGTGATTCACCTTGGTTTTATTAAATTATTGTACATAATATGATTTATTAATTTAATTAAAAAAAATTGATATTATTTTATGAAGTTTTTAATAAATAGGTTAATTAACAAAATGTAGGTTGTTTGAGCTTAATCTTGTGAAAAGAACAATAAAACGCAATTAGAAATTACTCCTAACGCATAAACGTACAGAGCGGATTGATAAGTTTTAAAGTTTTTACAATCGAATCAATTCCAAAAACAGGCCCACGCAGTCTTTTACAGTTAGTGCAAAGAAGATTGCCGTTTGCCGTCTCCGTAGCTTATTACAAACAATATCACAAAATAGGAAAAAAAATACATAGGATAAATGGGCGCTTTGACTGTTAAAAAAATTACAGATTTTCTAGAAAACTTAATATTTTGAAGCACGTCACTTGTTACTATAAAAATTAAAATGCTTTTTCATAGATTTTTAAGATTATATAAAGATGGTAAAATTTCAAAATTTATATTTTTCAGATTTCGGTTTGGCCAAAGAATACATAGACTTAGAGACAAACAAACATATACCGTACCGGGAGCACAAGTCACTCACGGGGACAGCGAGATACATGTCAATAAATACACATTTAGGAAAAGGTAAGTATATTCAACGGTATCGGGGTAGTGAAAACGATTCTAGTGAATATGGTGTAAATTTTTTCTCCTATTTATTTATTTCGTAATCCTACAGCTAAGATAACTTTATTACATCAAAAATCAATTATATTCAAGGTATAGCCAAAGATACAGTACGCAATAAATATATACAAAAAGGTTCAAACATTTATGAAAGGAAAAAATAAATAAAAATTATTAATTACATTTAACTAAGTAATAATTCGGCTGTGTTTTGTAATAGTATTTTTATGTGGGGTGTCTTTTTCTAATGGAGAGCAAATTTCTCTTACATAATTTGGTAGAATTATGAGTTACGTATTACATTATTTTATAACTTCGTCAACACATTATTAAATTAATATAAATTACAAAATTTCACTCAAGTAATCACTAACAGAATACCTACCTATTAGGCTAGATTCTATTGAATTGATATTAACCCATATAACATCAAATATCCGTCTATACATTGTATCATTTAAGACATAAATCGCTTTTAGAATTTCAAGTACTTTAAAAAGCAACATGAAGACATGTCTGCCCCATGTCTACCTATATCCCTACTTGTTTATGAACTATTTACAGTATTTCTTGGTTCAAATCTAGCTACTAAAAGGCATCTTCTAAATTCATATATGTATTTATTTTTGGTTGAAACCATATTCGAAGTTTGGATTATACTTAATTCTTGTCCTTAATGAGATGACCTAGTAACCTAAGTTTATAGTGAAACGTATTATTTTTCAGAACAATCAAGACGCGACGACCTGGAAGCTCTTGGGCACATGTTTATGTACTTTTTACGTGGTTCCTTACCCTGGCAGGGTTTAAAAGCTGATACACTCAAAGAAAGATACCAAAAAATCGGCGATACGAAACGGGCGACACCTATCGAGGCAAGTTTCTGACAGTTTTATTTTATATATAACTAAACGGGCAGAGGATCACCTGATGTTAAGTGATACCGTGCGGTGTGGTAGTGTGCACTTGGACATTCATATTATTGCCAAAGGGCTCGCAAGTGCGTCGCCATTTTAAGAATTGGTACGCTCTTTTCTTGAAGGACCTTAAGTGTGGCCATAGACGGACCGCATGTTGCAGTCGATACAGACTGCTCTAGAGCGGTCGCGTTGAAGTCGTACACGACTGCACCACGACCGCATAATGCAGGCGACTACGACTACTTGGAGCAGTTGTGTTCGACCGCAAAATAATACTGATGCGAGTTCATTTACAAGATGATTTTCGATGAAGAAACACTGCTTCTTGTACTACTATGACGCAAGCGCAGGCGTAGAAGACACCGTAGTATGTGGGTGCGTCCAATACTACAATCAAGAGAACAGCATGGAATATTTCATACTTTGTATCCCCCAGCTGAGAGAAGACACTTAAAAGTTTTTCAACTACTTTAGAATGTCCGTGATTTCATTTGATGAATTAGTTAGTATTTTAAGCCATAAAATACAACGGACAGTTTCCAAAATGAGGAAGGGATTGGTACTCAGCCGGGAGAGTGTGGCGCGCGGTCATCAGCAACCGCTTGTAGTGGTCCGTGTATGGTGGGTCCGGCAGCTCTAAGCAGTCGACCGCACGGCGAAACTCGATCGCTGAGCGACTGTCCGACCGCTCAGAAACTGCTTGAGCGGTCCGTGTATTGCGGATATGAATTTAGTATGGATACTGTAGATTGCCGTGCGGCGACCGCTCTAGAGCAGTCGGTCTCGGCCGCAACATGCGGTCCGTCTATGGCCAGCGTAAGTCGAATTGGTTCGGAAATACTTCAGTGGGCAGCTGGTTAAGAACTGCCTTAAGAAACACTAAGTTGTGGAACCACAGACGTCGAGGTGATACGGATGATATTTTGTATTCGAGTACTCCCCTGAACACTCCATTGTCCAGTGTTAGAAAGTAAAAAATGGAACGCCTCAGAGGTAACGTCGCATGAGTTATGTTTTTTCGTGCGTGCAGCCGGCTCCATCGAATTATAAGACGTTGTCACGTCAAAAAATCCGCATAATCAGCCATATAAAAATACATATGCAAATCTCATTAAGGAAACTATTGGTACCGCACTTATTCTTTATGATATAAACATTTAGCTAATATTTCACTAAACCATTGCAGGTGTTATGCGAAGGTCACCCAGAAGAAATGGCGACCTATCTCCGCTATGTACGACGGCTGGACTTCTTCGAGACCCCCGATTATGACCAACTCAGGCGCATGTTCCGTGAACTGTTCGAGCGGCGTGGCTACGTGGACGACGGCGAGTTCGACTGGACTGGAAAGACTATGGTAAATTGAATGTTTCTGATTTAAACCTGTTTGTTTGATTTTTAAACTAAAGCTAGGACACGCAAAATTTTATATAAACGTTTTGAATGCAATTTTTAAATATTGTATTAAAGATTATATAGCTTTGTAATAATTCATAAAACAATCAAATGGACAGGTTTTTAAACTGCTCGAACTGTTATGAATGTGGTGGTGCGGTGTCTGATAGTTACCATAAACTTCTATTTGTACATTTGTCAATATTGGTCTATGGTCTTATGATATTTGCTGTATAAAGGTCTAATCTACAATTTTCTTCAAATAGTAGTATATTCCAAAACTTGTAGTTCTACCATTGAGAAGTGGCCATAGTGGCTAAATTAAAATATGTGTGCGTCAACTATTTGTATCCATATTTTTTTTAAGTAAAATTTAGATTTTTTTTTGAGCTCTATAAGATTGTCTTTTATTTTTTTCTCTACAGTTTAATTTTGTATCTGGCTTATTTTGACAGTCATTATAGGGCCTTGTAGATTGGACCTTTTGGATTTTTCTAAGGGAGAAAAAGCTTGCTTTTGTTTTGACTCATGTAAAATTGTTTAGCAGAAAGATAAACGAATGATAATGACGCGTTTCGTTGGTGATTGGTCGGAATGATCGTGTCACGCGAATAAACATCTTTAGTATTTTATTTATGAGAAAAAGCCTTCAATATCGTTTGAATTTGAATGTTATGTTACTTTGCAATTAATTAACTGGGTACGGCTAACTTCCTTAAAAACGGACTTTAAACATGCTTCATTTAATAACTTATGGGCCAATATGACTCATAAGTAATATCAAAACCACTGGAACTGTTGAATATAAGATTATTATAACGGTAATTCATTGTACGAGTCAAGGTCATGACTTGAAAGGGTGAATGACCCCAAGATCAATACTAGCAATTTTGTTTGCCATTTTTGTTACTCATTGATATATTGAAAGTTCACTCCTCATTCTTAAAGAACAATAAAACATTAAATTTCGTAACACAACATTATTTAACTTGAATTAACGTTTATAGTAGGTATATAATATTTCGCGTCTAAGTGTAATATTTAACACACAGGTGAATGAGTCATAGAAACAAAGAAGAGGTTCGAAGCTAGAAAATATTTAAAAGTCTGCTAAGTAATCATTAAATATAATTAATCATATTTGTAGTTTAAATTTATAGTTTAAAGTTTAAAATGTTCAGATATAAAATTACTGTAGGAAAATTATAAATATCTAAAGCTATATAAACTACATATTCTATGGTTATTATTATTTTGTTTAAGATCATTTAATGCCTTCAATAGCACCTGTAAATAATTATGCACCCATGAGCTCATAATTATCATTTAACACTGGAGACAATTTCAAATTTCGTAGTAAAGAAAACCTCGTGTCATACGAAAATGTAAATAATTGAAGTTCGCTTAGACGCTTGGACCTTACTTCACCGTACTAGGACCGTGTTAGGCAAAATGTTGTAAGGAACAGCATTATTCCGGTTGTTCGACCAATACCGCCGCGAGTCATGCAAAAATATTTTTTTACACATTCAAAGATTTGTAATGCTTGCTGATACGTTCCTAGTCCGGTCATAGTGTGGGAAGATCCCCCTACTATCATCTTGTTCAAACTTTTTGCATGTCAGAATGTTATATTGCTTTACATTGTACTACGACAAATTAATTTTATTATTTTTTTAATGTTTGTTACATAGAACGTGTATATAAATAATTTTAGATGCTATTTTCACACGCGTTCCTTTCATTTTTTATTCGCTACTTTAAAACTCGCTAGTGTTGTAGTCAATGTATTTATTGCCATTTAAATAAATTTAATTTCTATGATTTGGTCGTTTATGTGTAGATAGTTCCGGCCTTTTCGCCTTCGTTGACATAGACTCTATTTAGTATGATTCTTTAAATTAACAAAGGAATTGAAGTTTTGATAATTTACCGACATGAGCACTTATTTTCAAATGCTTACTACCTAACTTATGCGTATATGACAGTTTATTTAAGGGGGAACCAGTTTAGACCGATCAAAAAATCGATCTTTTTATTGCATATTTTGTTAGTAAAACTACTAAAAAATATATGCTCAAAATTTAAAAGCAAAATTCGCATTATTCCCGTCGTTATGAGCACTTAGTGACCGCCCGTCGGTTCGACGACGAATCGCGTGGTAGTGGTAGAATAGAGCGGTCGCTCAGATGTCCTTTTTGGTTACTTCCTCGATACCGCTGTACTAAGGAATAATAGAGAGAGCATTTCGGCAGAACAAGATGAGATTGCAATACGGTGCTGGAATTGTTGATTAACCGGTGAGAAGTTTATGTAATTAATTACTAGAAATATATGGTGTAAAATATTTTTTCTTTAGTCATTGTCTTCAAACACCTCAAAAAAAATCAATTTTTTCATCTGGATTAAGTTCATAGTCTTAGGAAATGTGTTGCTAACGAAAATTGAAAATTGTGACGATAACAGATGAGAATTCCGACAATAGGAATGCCATCCATGGATAGCACGCTCTAACGTCACTATTTCTGACGGAAATTAATTGAAAAAATTCTTAAGTCTACTTTAAAATATGAATAAAATACTCCAAAATTTAAAAATAAATCTGATTATATCTTCCCTGCGTAAAAACTTCACGAACAACATCTTCCGGCTTCCTAAACTGGTTTGCCTCCTTATGTCTGGATTATAAGTTAGGGGTTTGTAACTGCTCAGTGGAAGGACTATAACTAACAAGTGTATATTTTGTTTGTGTTCCGCTTTCATGGCATGTTTGCATGCGCTTACACAGCCTTCAAATATGCACGTCATGAGAATCCTGCGCAACGCCCCGCCCTCTAATATCGTAAAAAATAAATCCGATAAGGTCAGTAACAACTTCTACTAATACTAATTCACGGACATGTCATTTTGGCTAGATTGGTACTTTTCGGATTTACCTTTAATTTTAGTTCTCCCACGCCTGACCTGTTGTGAAAATAAGCTTTGCTTTGTTTTCCTCGCTTGAGTATTATAGTTTTACGGGCTGTATAAAAGGGTGCGAGTACTTATGTACGCGCGTAAGAAGTTATACTTCTATGGCATTATTAAAAATAGTTTTTGATTGCATGCAAATAATTATAATTAAATAATCAAAGACTGGAAAAGGAGCCATTATAGTCAATAAAGTTCAGTTTACATTTGAAAAGTTAAATAAATAAATATTTATTATTATTCTCTGACATTAAGTGTAACATAAATTCTATTATTATTCGAATGTTGTTTTTAAATTATGTCCAATGCCGTAGCATCTTCCGTGGCCAACTTCATTCTGTTAATTTTGTGTCACGGTGCGCGCGCATCGTAAAATTTCACTCTCATCAATTTTTCATAACGCGCCTAAAGAAGTATAACTTCAAAAAGAGTTCTCACTTTAAAATATGGAGGAAAGGCGTTGGAGACTTATCTTCGATAACGCGTAATAACAGTTGTCCATTTTAACAATATTTATAAGACCATTTTAGATAACGATTATGACATAGATCATTTGTAATATTAATCATATTTTTTAATATCATTTAGATACATTGATAGTGATATTAAATATTAAAATATATTCTAAAGAAAATTAATAAATTTTTCAGTCAACTCCCGTGGGGTCCATTCAAACGGGACACGAGATTGTTGTATCTCCGAATCGTGGACATCAAACCTTCCACAAGGTAAGACCAATTGATCATTTATTAAAACCTGATTATATTTTATATCGAATTTGTTGAACAAACTTCACCGTAAAATGGAAACTAATTGGGTCATTAGGATTGTAGTGCATTCTAGATTTTTGATAAACTAATGCTGTCTTTATCCATGTGTATCTGACTACTCACTCTCTTTCTCTCTTTGCCAACTCAATCAGGCTGTGTAGGTTTTTTATATAATTTTTTGTTTATAATTGGGTGATATGGTAAGGTTTCTAACTTGTAGTGACTTATTTTTTTGTCGGTACAGGATGATTTGTGTGATTATATGATTGGTATGCTTGAGGACGATGAGGCGGCCCTTATATCCGGAGAGGTTTGAAATTGTTGTTTTCGCTAGAGCTACCCTCATACAAATCACTCCGAAAGACCATTACAACTAGCTAGATTAAATCAATTTTAGATGTATAGAATATTTACTAGAATCTTCTAGAATTCTTTGAAATCCCTGAGATTATTTTTCTGTTCCCGTATTTCAATAGGTATCTCTATAGATGCAAGAGTACTAGAACAGAAATAATTAAGTTATAATGGCCTGACCTTTAATCTTCCAAAGCTTGTAGTTAAATGTCAGTCCCTAACCGATTTGTGTGGTTTTCTCTTACTTCAGATATCAGTGCCTTCTTAATGAACAGGAATGGCAATTCGCTTGTACATTTTTGAATTATTTTAACTCTAGATAAGAAATAACGTGTTGCAGGTATTTGTATTCTACAGGTGAAAGATTACACTTGAAATCAAGTTACAAGAAATCACTAAAGTGATTTTGTTTAATCATTTTAACTGATTTTTTCCCCGAAGCGTAGACTTTATAGAGTCTCAAATAAGAACATACATTTTGATATGAATTTAATAAGTTGGCTAGTCATAGATAACACACAACGCTACGTACTATTTTATCTATGGTCAACTTATTAAATTCATATCTAATTATATCAAATGTAAATGTGTGTTTTTGCAAAGTGTTTGCAAGACTATTCGTGTTTGTAAGAGTCAGGCCCAAAAGCAAGTTAACGGGACGGGAAATAGGTTTTATTTTAGAAAGATTTTATTTTGCTACTTATCTAGAGGTATACCGGTGTATCGAGTGTACATTCGAATTGCAGTCATAATGATTTTGAAAGTGAACTAAAATATTGACATGTTTTACCCTTTATTGACATTGTGCTAAAACAATTCATTATCATTTGAGAAATTCGTTAATATTACATACTGTATCTCTCAGGTTTTGATTCCAGTAGATTTAAATCGATACATATAGCAATCTTTGCTCATGTCCACAAAACAGTTTTTAGTTTTTATTAATGGGGGTTTCTATCGAACTCAAAAATTTAAAGTAGGCTATAAATTGTAGAGGTGTAAATCGCCCTACATTTTTGTCTTTGGTTAGATATGGCGCACCTGTACCGTTAAAATTAGATTGAATACTCTCATCTGTATTTAGAAAACTATATTTTTTACTATAACATATACAATATAAACTACATATATGTATATGTTATTATGAACGTATACTACGTAGTCGGTCCCAAAGTTCTGTCATAAATGGAAATAATGATAAAAACAAAAGTACTGATCAGTTTGTAATGAGTGATATATCAATTCTTAGTACATTAATTAAGGAATAAAAAAAGCATAAAAATATTCGAAATAACCTCCCTCATTTTTAATACAGGCCCTTAAGCGTCGCGGCCAGTCGTCTATCGCAGCACGCACCATATTCGTGTCGATTTCAGTCACTGGTTTTTTTTAAAGATGACTTCAGATTCTCCAAATTTTCATGAGGTTTATCACAGACCTTCCTCTCTAAGCCCTGTCATAATTTTCGGGTCCAAAGGATTAAGGTCCGGACTGGAGTAAGGCCAATCCTCATGTCTAATTAAGACGATGTTTTGACGCTCAAACCAGGCTTTAGTGGTCTTGGCTTTGTATGCAGACGCAGAGTCCTGCTGGAACACGAAGTGATGTCCCGCAAATAGGGTGCTGGACATGTCTTTGACAAGGCGATACAAAACCGTCTCTTCGTACACTGTAGCACTGGTTTTGACCCCCTTTTCGAAAAAATTAACCTCAGTTAGCCCCTAATAGGACACTCCCAACCAAACCATTACTGATGATGGATGATGTCCATGTTGCACCCTTGGAACTATATTTTCAGCTTCTTCAGAACTCTTAGCGTACACTGTATAATTCTGTTTATTGTACTTCTCTTCAATATCGAAAAATTTTTCGTCCGTAAAGAGGATATCACGGTGTCGGTTTTTCGCGTACCGCTTAAACAACACCCGCGATCTCTTAAGCCTTATTGCTTTTAGACGAGCATTAAGTAAGTGCCCACTCTTTTTTTGTATGCTCGTAGACCAAGATCTTCATTTAAAACCTTTTTTACTGTTTTCCTACTGACACCCATCTGCAAATCCATCAACTTCTGTTTTCGGACAGGATTTCTTACTATCCGCGCCTTTATAGCTTTGATTACTGCTGGTGTTCTTGCGGAGCGTGGCCAGCCAGTTCTTTTCTTGTCCTCAACACTGGAGACTTCAAGGTACCTATCAATAGTACCGTACACAAACCTAAGCGTTATATTCAAATTTTTGAGCAACTTGAAAATGGTACTCGGCGAGTGTCCACAGCGGTGCAACGCAATAACAACTATTCGGTTTACTTTCAATGTCCACTCCATCGTGAAAAATTACGGAAAGTTATTGTTTTTTGTTTTAAAACAATAATCAAACATTCCAAAATAGAATGCAATAATTTTTTTATAAAATCCATCTCGAAATGTAGAAATAATGTGCTAGTGACAGAACTTTGGGACCAACTACGTACATTTTATAATTAAAGGTAACCTATACAGGAAATGAGCCTTAGTATAAATGTACGCCAGTTATACTAAGGCAGTAAGGCAGGTAGTTGGTACTATATAAATGATTAATTTGAAAATATGTTAAATATTTATCGGGAATTACGTATGGTTAATTAACAATTTCAGGGGGCTGTAAAAGATTCTGGTACTGGTGGTACCGCGAACACTGGTGGAAATTGGCCCCACAGTGGAAAAGCCACGCCCCTTACTGCCGGTCACTTGACACCTGCCGACAGACACGGATCCGTACAGGTTAGGCCTTTCGCCATTATTCATTCTTACATAAAACCTTTGGAATTTTGGCTGTGATCTAGAAACTCATTATCCAATTAAAGAAATGAGAATTAAAGCCCTAAATATATGCCAAATACTCGAAACTTTTTTGTTACCTCCGTTTACTTTGTGAGCGAGTTAGAAATTTTTGTTGAAACGTATGAAAAGCTTTCAAACTCAAATATCTTTATAGATTTTAAGTGATGGGGAAAAAACTTAGGCCAAATGAGAAATCTTTTAAGTGAAATATCTTTACTCTATTATACATATACACAATTTGATTGCAATATTTCAACACATTTTAATTTACAGATAATGAAACTAATACGTTGTTAGCCATAGTTATCAATCGTTTAGCAGTTGAGCATAATCCACGAATTTATCTATGATATTCATTATCTGTGAAAAAGGGGGCATATCCAAAGATTCAGAGACAAGTTCAAGTCACAGCTGTCAAAAAGTCATATATTTTGACAGATGACAGTTTGCACTCTCTGAACCTTTAGTTATATATAAATTTAACTTTTTTAGCATTTGAAGAATAAACATTTTCGGTATGTCAAATTTCCTGGATCTGACACCACGGTCAGTGTTGCTCATAATAGTATGTTTGTTTGCATGAACGTAACGAAAATCAATGAATTTCAACTTCGGATTTTTTTTTGCATTAACTAAAACAAATGCTAATTGTGTCTATGTGGTTTTCTACTAAACACTTACACATACTATTTAAATGCTCTTTACACAACTTGACAAATATTACAATACCCTTATGTAAACAAAATAAATGATCAAAAAATATAAATATATGATTGTTGATAGAGGTTTAAAATTGTTAACGCAATTTCAACACCAAGCTCAGACATTTTGGAAATTTTGTTCTTAATTATTATTAAAAAAACTGTACTGATTTAAACTATATGTATTATTTATATCTTTGTATTTCGCGTAATCATTTGATACCTGAGAGACATATTAATTGTCGAGCGATATAGGTACTAATCTAAAAAACTATTGTTCCGTCGGAAATGCAACCCAGGACCTTCCAAAAGGTCGCATACAACGGTATGTTAATCAGATATATTTGCAGGTGGTTAGTTCAACGAACGGAGAGTTAGGTGCGGATGACCCCACAGCCGGGCATAGCAACACCCCAATTACTCAACCGCACCATGAAGTGGATGTTGTCGATGACACCAAGTCAGTGTTGCAACTGTATGCATTGCTTCCGGTTTTTATTTTTTTTAGTTTTCCTTTTTTTTACTGTTTAGGAACTGCCAAGTTTCACAATTGTTCTTGCTATTGGTTACCATACGGTTCCGAAATGAATACTTTTATCTGTTTTTAAATTCATATAACAAAAAAAAATTAAGTCTGACCATCACGTGGTCATTAAGTTGACCTGATTGGTTATATTTTTGGCTATGGATCGCTATGACGTCATGGTGAACCTTTTCAATATTCACTAGTTCAACAACTAGATTTTTGTTATTATTTTAATACCCTTTATTCTTTAGTTTTTTTACTTTTATTTTATATTTGTTGAAGGCCAGTATTTTTGCTAATAATACCTTTTTAGTTATCTGTACATATTGCTATTATCCTTTGTATGAAGCATGTTCCACCTTAGCCCAAGGCAGACTCGTAAATCTTCATACAGACAATCCGTGTATTCCAGATGCTGTTGCTTCTTCAAGCGCAAAAAGAAGAAGTGTGCGACGCGCACGTACAAGTGACGCGTGTGCCCCACGTGACCGCACAGACATACATTACAGACATTTTACACAGTCATTTAAAGACACATTGCATACACGCGTTATTACATACCTCGATCAAGTACGCGATCGGGAATTGAGAAATATTAAATTTCGATAAATAAATCCTTTTTAAATATTTTCGTTGGACGTTAATAAAACTGATTTAATGTATATTAATAATGATATAAGATCTCTATTCGAAATCGTATTATTTGTTCAAAGTCCATAGAAATAGTTTTGACAGTTCTTGAAATTAGTTTGAGTCAGTTCTAAGATCGCGTACTTATTCCGCTGTATATTTCTCTTTATTCTACAAATTATTACAAATAAATGTAATATAGAATCCATTTTATTCGTACATTACATTTTTCATGTATATAGAATATGTATAAAACAATTAAGACAGACGACTTAATGTAAAAAACTTGCAAAATAAACCCCAAAAAATTAAATTAAATTTTTAAAAAATGTTTTGTTTTTCGCGTTTATTATGAAAATTATATTATATTAGTTCAATGGTTGTTATTACGTATATAAAAGGCAGCTATATCAGTAATATGAGAAAGCAATATTATTGCATTATTTTTTAAATCTTTTAAACTTCTGAACTATTTTTCGATCGGGGTGCATAAATCGTCACATAAATATTTTATTGATATATAGATTTTAGATTATGACGTCACATCCGGTCACCATACCACAGATACCCTTCATAAATTCTCAAAAATGTGTGTTCTGGTGCGGTTTTTAATGTTTGTGTTCCCGTCCGTAGCTATTTTCATTTCACCGAAAACTTACGAGATCGCTTTGCCCAAAAGAGACCATTCCAACTCGAACAAAAACTATAGCATTATAGTAGACAATAGATGTCGCTTTTCTCCGTTTAGCCTCAAAATTTTCTTATCGCAAATACAATGTTAATTTTTGTTACATAAGTAATGAATTACCATAATATAAGATATCGATCTATAAGTTTGTGTGTTAAACTCGTGTCTATTTTAGCGGTGCGTGTGTTAAACATTAACGTTTAAAATCACATTGTATATTTATTATCATTTATTCCTAAATGCATCACTAAAAACGTTTTCATAAAATAACACTGTCTCTTTCGAACTAATGCTAATTGTTACGGGAGAACGAGATGGCGATACGTAGTGTTAAGCACACGCGCCGTAATATGCATATTGTAGTTGTAATTTTATTTAGTCATCGTATAAGTTCAATTCGTGCGAGTTCACTCGGCTCCGTTCATAGCGCTGCCACTTTTCCTATCTTTATTTATGCCTATATAATTAGTTTAAGAATGTAAACAGGCAATTTCATGCAATAATTATTTAACGGAATATTCAAGTATGATTGTGTACGACTAATTTGGTCTAAGTATGGATACGACCACTTACTCAAAGGTGAATGTTTATATAGCGTGCAATAATTTATGTATAAATTCATTACAATAGTTTAAAATAATACATTTGTTTCAATCGGTGAACCCTGAACTCCTTAAGACTGGTTGAAACATGTCATAGCGTATGGTCCGAAATAAAATCTACAGACTGTAACAAATGACTTGATGCATAAAAAGCGACGTTGGGTTTCATTTCGGACGAGCCTTTGTGTAGAGACCCGCGGTTCATGTCAATTGAAATCAGTTTTTAGGCCTTAAACGATATATCATTAACAGTAGAGTAAAATTTCTGTCGATTCGATTGCAACCTCGGTCTGAGTCGAAAGTTCCAAAAATTATACTAAATGTTTTAATATCGTTAAGAATTGACCGTCGTTGCAATGTGAGGTGACTGAGTTACATCGTTTCAGTTAAGTGTTAGATTAATGAGTCGTTAGACTGAATATCGCCGATGCGATGGCGTTGCTATGAAGACGTGCACGTATTATGTATACGTGTTCGAGATCGGCGTGCTACGTGTATAAATTGTACAGCTTAGGAACGTTTGTATATTTTTGCTTGGACAGAAATGGCAACGAATAGAGGTTTTGGCCTTTTTGATTGATTAGTATAATCTTGGTACGTGCAAGCTTTAGAACTCTTGCAGAGGAATAATTAACTTGTATATGATACATCTTAGTGTATCGGCGCGTTGTTTGCTGCGAGGTTATCGGTTACAGTGGCGTTAATTCCAAGTACTTTTTGAGTATAGTCATCACAAATCCTAACTCCCTTAGGAATTTAATTTCGGCTAAGTAATGTTAAAAATGTTTTTGAAGGACGCTGTCTTCATATTTTTAGAAAAATATAGGTAATACGGTGTACGCTGTATGATAAATTTTAATGATGCGTATAAGTTTTCTATGAATTGTAACAAAGTATTCTCTCGTTGATAGATCATAATCATTGTACAATCATTAAAGTGATAGGTTACAATATAATGAATCATTATCTTATTATACCATAGTCGTACCTAATTGTTACTTTCTATTGCTAGATAGAATAATCAAATTAGATTGGGTATAACGTGTGATCTCTTAACACAAGTTTAAATTCGACGTGTGTTAATAATTTTAAAGTATATTGTTGTGTAAAGTGACGAATCGCAGAGTTTGTGATCTGATTGTGGTTCTAGTGATACGGACCGTCTCAACAATTACTAACGATCAGTGTTTTGTTCGCTTCTCGAGACAAAGTCATACCAAACTGACAACGGAAGACACGAAAACGTTATCGAAAGGTCTATCTTATTCATATTGATGTTACATGACTTTGTCTCGGGTTATTTAGTTTGAATTACAATATTAACGATATGTACATAGTTTGGCCGTCTGGTGCCGAATGATTTAGAAAACGATAAAACCGGACATTGTAATTGAAACTGATATAACATTTTTCTTTGACGACAACTGCTGAAGATGGAATTATTATTCCTCATATTTATTAGAACCAGCACCACATTTAGAACGGTGCGTGGACACGGCGTGTCACGCGTTCTGTGTAGTTAATTTAATTGATAATTTGGAAGATTTCGCTTACTAAGTAAGTTTCGGCTTGAGGACGCACGAGATGGATTTTTGAGCTATAGTTATATAACTTTATGTATTTATAATACATGCTTTCGAAACTGAATTGAATTCTTATTGTTAAGTATAAAATAAATATTCATTATTATAGAAACAATTCTCAGTGTTTATTTTTTCGTAACATGTAAATTTTGCGTATGCATTTGACTTATATTCAGTTATGGTCACAACCTGTTTTCAAAAATACGAAAATATTTGTTAACTCATAATTAAATAAAGCTTATTATAAGAGATTTGTTTTAATTATCTACCTACACCAACCAATTCACTTCGCCACTATTAAGGTGGGAACTGACCAAAGTTACGAGGTGTAATGTGACACGTTACACAGCGAGCATTTGTGCAGTCAGTACGTCGTGTTACGAGGAAACACGACGTACTGACGCCGCTCGTTGCTCGCTTTGAGTGCTCCACCCGGCGGTCGGTTTTTCAGCGAATCCTTTGACAGTTGACTGTTACGCGGTTCAGTCAGTACGCGTCGCACGTCGCAAGTACTTTTGGTCCAATTAAATTCAACAGTTCTTCAAAATCGAGACATGCGTACAAAGGTTTTAAACTATCCAGTAATCATTTGGTTTTTTAATATTGCAATCAATAACAAAACACCTCATACGTTCAAAACACAGTTTTTAAATAAGTTTGATGTCCAGTAACATTTTTTCTTCTTCTTAATTTGGATGAAACAATAATTAAATAGAATGAAAGATATCAACACGTCCTCGCTGTTGGCCATCTATTTTATTTATTTTATTTATTAGGCTTACGACATCACACACAATACTTAATCTACTAATTATTTTACAAAAACTTACATCTAAAATGTGTGACAATTAACGTAAACACAAGTTTCACAAACAAAAAATAGAAATTTAAAATTTAAAAATGTAAAAAATACAATTAAAACATAATATACAAGGTGTTAAGGATTTTGTAGAACTCAGATGCTATCATTAACATTATTATGAGCGCGTAGGCTATCATTCCAATCAATGGTTTTCAGATCCCCTATAATAGACTTTTCTCTAATAGTCAGCTTTTTAAAAACTTAGTTAAGTATTACCTCTCGTTCGCAAAAAAGATATTTTAGAATATTTAATACTTAACAATAAACTAGGATGATTCGCGTATATTTTACTTAACGAGTCGGAGGGGGCTGATACATTAATACTAGACATATTACTTAATACTAAATACAAGAAACGATCATCACTATTACCTATACTATTACATTGATTTGGGCTATTCATAGACATAAAATTAATAAAGGCAAAGCCAAGTGTATTGTTATAATTACAAGGTGTTATAAAAACTTCATTATTTAGCGATCTCCAATTAATGAACCCTAGATTGACATCATCACTTAAGATTAAAGCTCTGTCGACGCTGTCTAAAAAATGTGTCAAAGTCCCAATCTTAACAGGAGGAGGCAGGTATACTTCACATATCGAAAGTTTCTTTATTATTTTATTAATATTTATATGTAAGGTGACCCATAAGTCCTCCACATCCGATTCCCATGCCTCAACTCTGAAAGAAGAAATTTCTTTGGAGACTCCCAGTATGACACCTCCACCATCCGATTTGGTATTGGTAGAACTTGAACGATCTCTACGATAAACAGTGTATCTATTGTCAAATAATTCCATGTTTGAAATACCAGATTTCAGCCAAGTTTTAGTTAGAGCGATGATCTTGTAATTAGAAGTTGACAAATATTTGAGAAAGCTTGCCGTTTTAGTTCTCAACCCCTGTACGTTTTGATAATAAATTTCAAGCATCGTAAAAAAAATCAGTGTGTTACTAGACTAAAGATACAACAAAAGCTTACAATCTAATATACTATACTATGTTAAAAGATTTAAGGTTTCGTTATTCTTAATAAGCAAGGCTTGGCAGTTTTCGTTCTTTCTTGTAAAAACGCGTCCGTTGCGAACCCATACAAATTTATACTGCTTCTCTTTTGCTTTCAAGCGTGTGGCCGCGTAAAGAGCATTGTTAACTGATGTAAGATGTTCAGATACATAAATAGGTTTCTTAGTTCCTTCGATACCAAGATGATGAGAGTTTAATTTCTCTTGTGGATTCTTCCTATTAAATTTGCTCACAGCAGCCAGAACAAAGTCACGTGTACGCGGGCTACATAACTTGGCTACCACGGACCGAGGCCTATCACTGCTATTAGTTATTTTAGCAACCCTTGTTACGTGCTGAATATCAACTTGAGTGAGGGGACAGTCCACAGTCTTGGCTATACGAAGGACAGTTTCAAATAAATTTTCTGACCTATTCTCAGGGATCCCATTAATCAATATATTATTCTCCCGGGCATGTAGTTCAACAGAAGTTAGCCGGTTCGTTAGGTCAGCCACATTAGACTTTAACCTCTCATTATCTTTTTTTAGATTCACTATTGCGATGTCCTTCTCCTCAAGAGAAGACTTTATATCCTCAAATTGTCGACTCAGGAAGCAGATTGTGTCCTGGAACCCAACAACCCTTTCAGTGAGATTATTAAGTTCCGATGTCACCAATCGCTTTATTGTCACAGTGAGGACTGAAGATAACTCCTGTTGTAAGATATCTCGCAATTTATCTTCAGTGACATATGGTTCTAGTTCTGGTAGTTGTGAAGGGGGTCCATGTGATGGCTTTATTCGCTGCGTTACTTTAGAGCACGGAGGTTCACTCTCCGGACTTGCTTCTTGTGAGCTCATACTATGGGGGCTTCCATCGGAATTTTCACAAGTCAGCAATGACGTCTTTGCATTGCTAACATTAGTCGGTTTCCTAGAGCATTCGGGACATCTAAATGACGCCTTTTGTCTTGCGACCATCTCAACAAAGCGCTTGCGGGAGACATTAGCACATTCTAGGTCGTATTTTAACTTGCAGATATGACAGCATAAAAAATCCTTTTTTGGTAGCTCAATATGACAGCTAGCACAACAATTTGAAGGCGCCATAGCAACTTTTAATAAAAAATAAATAAAAACAAAAACAAGTGGGATGCCTGGATTGGAACCACGTCAGACACTATATAACGATATTATGGCAGCGCTCTGCAACACTGCGCCGAGCGGGCGGTCGATTAATCAGCCGAAATAATAGTATATATTCCAGTCCAATAGCTGAGTACAAAAGCACAACGCGCCACGTTGAACAAAAACTCGAACTTCACTGAATCTATGCATATGATTATTATAATTAATCAAAAAAACTATCAAATGCAAAATAATGTTAATGTTATGATTCACTTGCGTATTTTTCCATTTAGCGTATTGTTGATGTTTTAAAACGGCCACTGCACCAGAGCGCTTGTTATTATGTTGAAAATTTGATTATCCCATTAACACAACAACTTGGAAAAGTCACACACTGCACTAATTTGCCTTGCTTAATTCATTTAAAACAACATTATAGCAATATAAGGGGAATTTCTATTTTTAATTGTATTTTTACACGGGAGCCGATGTGTACGGTACCCACTACCTACGAATTTTATGCCATCTCGTAAACACTGGCGGCGAAAGCGGATCACGAGTTTTGACGAGCATGTTACGCCGATTTTAGAACACAGCGTAACATGCTCGATGCGTAACACGCTCGATGCGAATGCTACATTACACCTCGTAACTTTGGTCAGTTCCCACCTTTAGAATATCTTATTGTTCACATGAACATTCAAGGAGATTATCAATAACAAAACAATACTAGATTTTAATTTTAACAAAAGCTATGCTTAGCTAGAAAAAAAAACAACAATAATTATGTCATGTATTACGCAGTTGGGACGTCGCTACCAAACCATAGTTAATGTTAGGTTCCTCTAGGTTCACATCCTGCTATATAAACCAATGTTTACAGATAATTGTGTTAAGAGCGACTAAGTTCAATTAGATCGGTACGATACGATCTATTTCCTGGCCAATAGAGTAATGGCGAATACAATCCCCCCTCTATAACAGCATAATCTGAACTGGGCTTGTACATTATTTGGAGTATATTACAATCGCATCAGGCATGTTTGAATGTTAATTTTTCGCAACCAAACGACGAGTGTGCCTAGTGAATTAAGAGCGCGACAGCCATTTAATATATTATATAAAACATTGTGTATGCATTATATACTCTACATTGCACTACCTACACAAAGTAAGGTGAATATTGTTTATTTACCTTTTTCTAAACTATATTCTTTTGGAGTTTTTTTATGTACCAAGAGCACAAAGGCACTCTGTGGTACTGATAATTGATAAATTACGATTGACACTTGTCATATGATACTCTTGGCAGATGTGAATTATTATTTATTATCATTGCTAGTTGCTACTAAATCTGTGCATCATTAATCATAGCTAGTATAAAAGTTACATTATTATACTCCGAATTATAGGATTTCCAAATATTTTTAATTCGAATTAATTTTCTCGTTTAATTTAAATCTCTATTTGAGTTAACTTAAAAACGGCAAGAAAACGATCAAAAACCCCTATTATATTATGTTTGCCGTAAACACTCGCCGCTTATTACGTTTAGGTACAAAAGTTTTTGTACGAGAAATTAGGCAAAGGAGGTTACCAGGACCAAACCCTGGTTTAGATAATCGATTAGAAGAATTTAGAAAAGGTGGTATCAAGGTTACGGATGATGATGCTGAAGAATTTATTGAGAAATCAGACAGTACCTTTTTTGATGTAAGTTTCAGTAGCAAAATATTTTTTGAGGTTACCTTTTAATTTGAATTGTATAGTTTATTATACTGCTTTTTTAGGTGGGTCAAGCATACAATGAACATTTTAACGAGACCTTGATTGGAAAATATAAATTAAGACATCAAATTGTAAAGGAAAGATATTTTAAAGAGAACATGCCAAATTTGTTAACCTGGAGTGAAAAAGAACAGATTCGACATTTAGCTACCACTATGCCTGATGAATGGACTCCGCAAAAAATTGCTGAAAGCTTCCCAGTTACAGAAGCTGTTGTTAAGGTTAAAATAGTAATTTACTAACTTTACCATATTGAATTTAGTCTTTAACTAGCATCTCAAGAATGTATGAATTATTTAAGTTAATCAGACCATTTAATATTTTTCATGGTATGGATGTTTCTCTGGTATGTGTTAAATAATTTAAAAATAATTATTTCAGAAACTACTCAAATTTCCATGGAAACCAGCCACAGAGCAAAGAATTTCTAGACATGATGCTTCCGCGATGAGGAATTGGAGAGAACTAAAGGAGGGTACTCTAGATATACCAGAAAACTTAAGACAACATTTTCTTAAATTCTCTGAAAGGACAATACCACCCTTGAAAAAATCTAGTATTAAAATTGATGTGACTCAAGAGGAGAAAATGGGTGAGTTTGAGAGAATTATTAAAAAATGTGCCTCTGAAGGCCACAGTGAAAATGAAAATCAAACGGAAAACGAAACTAATGTTCATAATAACACAGAAAAAGTAAAGAAAGATAGCAAAAAGCTCACTTTAGATGAATTAAGTAGTAAAATTAAAAGTAGATTAGAGAAAGGGAAAAATGTTGATCTACCCGATCAACTTATTATTAGCTCAGTGTCAGATGTTTCCAAGGCAAAACCTAATATAAGCCAGGACATCGAACTAAGTAATATTGATGAAAGTAAATTAAGTGAGGTGACAGATGTAAAAGAGGACTCAAAGAAGTTAGAAGTTTTATCTGGCACCAATTATCCTGAAAGGATAAGAATTCCTAAAAAAGCCTACAAAAAAAATGCTACTTTTAAGGTTAATGACTGTTTCTACGATCATGATGGAAGATTTTTGTATAGAGTTATAGGAATGACTGAAAATTAAAACTAAGGAAATAATACAATTATTTAGAAGCTTGTTTTTATATAAAATTATATGCCTTTATTACATTGTCCTTTATGATAAAATAGAACAAGTCAAATACTAAATGCTAAGATCAAATTATTGCATGTCTTTTATATTACTATGCGGTATATCTATTCTTACATAGATGTCTGATTACATTGTTACAAAAATACATTTGTTACATATTTGTACAGAATAATGAACATAATATGGCTTTAAGACATCACATCTGTTTCTAAATAAAATAAACTCTTCTACGACAAACTGAATAAAATAGGAATTTACTTTCACACAAAATGTGATATATAAATTGATATTTTCAACAATATTTAAATTAATGCTGATAAGTATTGGGAAAAGTGAATTAGGTATACAGAAATCTAGTACAAAGTCCACTAAAGATTCTGTGTATCTGAAACATATTATGTAAAACATGATTTGAGCCAACCGCTAAGATTGTCGGAAAGGTAGGTAGGAAGGAAGGAAAAAATACATTAATTTAATAAACGGTTTTAAATATGTACTTATGTTTGTAAAAGAAAATACACACTACATTCTGAGTAACATATGCAACACACATTGCATAGTACTTTCCAAACTTACGTTTAAGCATTTTACAAATTTTAACTGACAACAAAAGTTGAAAGTTTACATGTGTAATGTTAATTTAATTAATGTAACAAAGAAATTAAGGTTTCACATATAACCACACTATTTACATTGAGTGTTAGGAAAAGCCACATAAAATACAGTTACATAATATAAACAATGAATTTTAATATAGGCCATAATTTTGTTTGTCCCGGCTCAACATTGGACGGCACGTATTTTTAATAGTACATTAAAAAATAACGTCACTTAACAAAGCAAAATGTCTCAACTTATGTCCTCAAAACCACAAATATTTAATTTAAAAAATCAAATATGTAATAAAAATTCTTAAGAAATTTTAACCAATAATTCAATAAACCCTTTTACACTATGTAAACTTTATTATTTCAAAACTTTTTTTAACCTTCACATTTCAAATATTGTATATCTACTATAATATCACAAACAATTTCGTTAAAACTTTAATAATACCGAAAAGTTGATTTTCTCAACCGAGATTGGTGTTTATGCAATTACTTGATTTACTAATTATTTACATAAATAGTTTTATATGTTAGCAAAGCCATCAAAAATATTTTTTTTTTGTGACGCAAATTGAATTGATTGCCTGAAAATTTCTGAGAAGATCATTTTTATTCTCTCAAATATTAGAAGATAGCACAAGATCTCAGGTCAGAAGCATATTTTACACAAAAATCAATGAAATTTAGTTAGTCTGGCATAAGAAAAAGAGAATTCATTGTAATTGTTATGTGATCTCTGTGTATTGCAGTGAAAACAAATTTTTATTTAAATTTGATTTTCTCTCACATATGGAATTTAGCCAAAATGGAGAATGTCCTTCCCGCTGCTGGCCGTTGTCCCAAATCACCTATTATTTAATAATAATATATTCAATATATAGGACTGTAACATTAAATATATCTTATCATATATTTTATATTATAGCAAAAGCATGGACTTAAAAATAAATTTTTTGATTTTTTAAACATTTTTATAAAAATTATTTGAGAATATTTTTGGTGTGGTGTCAAGTGTAAACTAAAATTTTAAAACCATGTGCAATTTAGATGTTTCAAAGTATTATAAAATGAAACCGCAATTTTTTTGCAGCCTTTGAAGATTGTTTATATATAGCGGGGCATTTGGACATTCCCCTTTTTTTTTTAAATTTTCTTACGAACTTCATACTTCTTCTACTTTAAGTCTAAGTCGTTTGAAATAATGCCTACAATAGGCGGCCGTCAGTGATGGAGGTAAGTCCTGAGGTCTTGCCTCACTTCCTAGTTGTTCTAACGCTCGCGTATACTCGCGTTGTAGTGCTACAAAATCAATATTTTGTTCCCCAAGGGCTGCCATTGCGAGGAAAATTATGTCCCTGTAAAATAGAATTTCGTATAGTACTATAATAATTATGAAATAACAGCATATTATAGATTTATTCATATGCATTTCAAAATAACGTTTTAATTGTGAAACTATTTTGCAAAGAGAAATAAAAAACGTATTTCAAAAAGTGTTTTTTCAAATCAAAATTGTGGGCTAAGTAATAATATGTCATCGTTTCAATTTCAACAGGTTCATTAACCAGCAAAATTTTGTCATATTTTTTGCATTATGATTTCTAAATCTACAATTTTTGTATAAACCTAACTTCGTATTTAAGTAATCTTATTCATAAATATACTAAGACCTAATGGGCTATTCAACAAGATTTTAAAAACAATTTTAAATTATTCATTAGAGACTATGGTTATGCTACTCATACAATTATATTTATTTTGAAAGCCGTAATTAAAGCTATAGAATTAAAATATAAATACGTCTTACATAATTAGAATAACCCGCCAAACCCGCCCTATGACGTATCATGCCAGTACACACGTAAACAAACGTCAAGTTTTTTACAATTATCATTTTTAAAGTACACAAATACTCTAATAACTTAACTAATAACTTATTTCGATAAAAATAGGTCTCCCACAAAATTAAACTCTTGGGCTGTATTAGGAGTAGACAAGGGATGACATATTTTTAAGTGGCACGTCATCGTCGATTCGACTAATCTGTACGTTTTGTGTCACGTGACTGACGTATAAAAATCTATATTTTTAATAAAAGTTTTATTTATTACAAGTTATTTTACTCAGAAACGCTTTTTAATGTTTAGTACAGATTACTTTCATATATATAGGAGTATCCAACTCTACGTACCTATAATATGAATGATAGCGTTTATTTCCCGACGTGGATTCCCTCCAAGAAGCCAATTTGCGTATCGCATCCGATAAATCGTTGCTGAGAAGGCCATCAAGTATTGATACAATTACTCTGAAATTTAAAAGTTATATTAAAACGTATTTCTAAAGTGCCAGGTGCTTTTTAACAACATTTTAGATATTAAGTATTAAACAATTAAATAAAACTTTTTTTACAGCATATTTTATCATCAAATTTATGACGTCTTTTACTAAGCACTTTTTTTATCGGTAAGTAATATTGCAAATACCAACTTTGCGGCAATATTATAATGCTATTACTGGACACTTAAAAGTTATGTAAATAATGTAATTTGTATTTCTACTCGCTAATTATTAGCTTATACATTTTAAACAAAATGTTTACAGAATAATTTATTTTATAAAATAATATAAAGATCTTTTTTGAAGATTATATGGTCTGGTACCAAGAGTCAACAATTTTACAGAATGAAACAGAGTTTTCGAAGATAATTAGAGTTTTCAAAGACATTTAGAAAATCTTATTTATGAAGTTAAGTTATGAAACTTTTCTATTATTAGCTTACACATTTTAATTTAATTTCATACGTGACTGCTAATTTAATACGTACGACTGTCGATGCTGGGAGTCATGTTCCGTTAAAAGCAATGCCCGTATTTGCCTCGATCGCGTCGTGTGACGTTCCCTCCACGCGCGATACAACGGCTCTGCCTCACCGTCCGCACAGCGTAGGGTGTCCCAACCACAAATGACACGACAACCTTTAATAAAAAATCACAGATTTTCACTTGAATAGACATGTATTTACAGTGCAGTAGGAGAGTTGTAGAGGAATTCAGAAGGAGAAATAAGATAATAAGCAATAAAGAAATAATTTATAACAACGCAAACAATATTTCGTACAAAAGATTTGTTGTTAGCATCAAAAAATAAATAATACTACTAAGGTCATATTTTATACGAAAGAGGTTACAACATATATTTACTTTAGAACTACATACTATTTAGACTGGTGAACTTTGTCTGGTGTCTTTATGTTGGAAATAAATCTTATACAATACATAAAGCTAGGAAAAATAAAGAGAAATTGTTTGTATGGAATGAAAGCTTTTGAAACGAATATACAAAGTACTAGAATATCTCTATTGAAATTGTAGAAAGATATCTACGGTATTTAACCAATTCCTCGAAATATTTTTGTCCCATACCTCCCCCTCCCCCTAATGTTAAAAATATTTCTAATCTTTTAAACTATTTGAAAAAAAAACATTTAAAATTAAAAAAAAAAGTGTGTGTGTGTCAGCTACGACGCAGGATGGGAGTTTACTCCTTACGAACGATAATTATGATATATATCGAATAGAAAAAAAGGGTAAATGAACGCATCTGCTAAAAATGATAAGAGAAACAAACATATTCATATCTGTAATTATTCGGATTATTTATATTACTTCAATAAAGCGTATTACATAAAGTATGTTATTTAAAATAAATCTTGATTTCTATACAAAACGGCACGAACGACTTCCATACTTTATAAGCTGTGGTGTTTCCCAGGCTTATAGTTTCGGCTTGTGTCAAATGCACTGCAGAACAAAGATGGCGATAATGTTCTGTGGCTGTCGACCATATTTTCATACTAAAGGTGGTAAGAATATATGTTTTTATAATATAAATGTTTGTAGTAGTAATAAAACGTACCTACATCATCTATGCCCAAATAGGATTTTCTTTATTAAGAGAAGAATAAGAATGAACAATCTTTTTAGTTTTAATTTCACTGACCATTACTATTGACAAAACTCTATGGCACGCTAGACAATCTACTTTTATTTTTTACACCTGTCAACACTGACAATGTTGTAACGTGGCTGTCCAAACGTGAATTCAAAATAGAAAAGTCTGTGTAATGTATTCCATCTCATTCTTTTACACGTTCAATCCTACAAATATATATGTTTGTCTCTTTCTACATAACGCCTCAACTTTTCGTGTTACACATAACGCCTCAACTTTTCGTGTTACACTTGATTTTACTCCTCATAAAATTTCCGTACCGGGCCTTATAACTCAAATCGTTTCTTAAGGAGTAAACTCCAAAAAAAAAAGAACTTATAAACTTTACT